AGAATAATGCATATCATCCGGCTGTATTAGTTTTATGCCGGAGAGAGTTATCCAAGGCCAGAGTCAATGGCGATAAAAATCACAAAGATTTGAAGGCCTTTGAAGCATTTCTGCATGCTGAGAAATTACTTAGAAATTAGTATTGGGATATTCCATCCCCTGGCTAGTCCCATTCAAAAATTCCGGCTATATTCAACTTTGTGTATTGACTGGATTGAGGTAGAACTAGCTGGTAACATTTAGTTGGTATTCCTCACTAGCTGAGAAGCTGGACCTCGCTGGTATGGGTGGAGAAACTTTCTTGTGTTACTCAAGGAAAATTTAAAAAGTGACTTGTTCGTGAAAATCTGAAGAGGTAAGCAATCGTTTTGACGCTGAATTGCAAAAAGCAATATTTTAAATCTGATTTAGGAGCTTTGAAGACCTAGATCTGAAGCCCAAAAGTGCGATAGCGTACAATGTGAAGTATTGATCAACTGTAATGATGGTCAAACTTTACCATCATTATTTTAAACGATTGTTTAGATGAAAACCATGGAAAGAAGTTTTTGACGGAAAAGTGCTCCATCTAACGAGTGCATTAAAAATGCACTCGTTAGATGGAGCACTTTTCCGTCCCGTTCAACATATACACGATATGTATTTTCTACTCTCGACATCGCTGTATTTCTATATTCTTTCCATCGACATTTCCTCTGTTCTTTTTCTTCTACATTCCGAAGCGCACCGAATGGGAATACCTACCGTGCAATATCTTTTGTCGCGGATAGAACACATTGGAAAAAAAAAATTACTTCTCAATCCAACCCCATAAAAAGAAAATGCATAAATGTCTCAGAAAGTAATGAGTGTCCCGCCTGTTCCGACTAGGACTGTATTTTCACGAAATAGCCCTGACCCCAGTCAGACTGGAGTCAGAACGATTTTGGTTGGCGTGCTCGTCTCTGGTGAGCTCCTCTTGGCAGCTTCGTATGTTGCACGCATACACGCGCTAATCAATGCTGAACCAAATTAAACGAGTCCTTCCCCTTCCCCTATTCCTTTCTTTCTTTTCTTCATTTGGAAGTGTGTCTGATTAGTGACGGAAATATTAATGAGGACTAGAAGGTCGAGAAGGGCAGGAACCGGTCAGGATACACTACCTATACTTTTTATACATCTTCCAGAGTTTCCTTATTTTGTCGCGTAGAATGTCAAAAACAAAGAGATCCACTAGCTGTCTCGGTATGCACATCCGTTGTTCTCTGCCGAAGCTTGTCTTTCTCAATACTTCACACAAGTGGGAGGTTGCCTTAGCTATGTATGGCTTCTAAAAGAGGATATAAGAATTTCGAAACAAATTTTTGACAGACATGAACACAGATTAGCTCAGAGATGATCCTACCACCATTTTAGTCATTGAATTTCCCCAGACGTGATGCGTTTTCTTGAGAATGGAATGAATACTCGAGAGAGAGAGAAGTCAAAACGCCTTTTTATTGCCTGCACTTCTATTCATAGGAATCGGAATCTGAAATCAATCGGTATCTTGATAGCACAACTTCAAGGAGTCTCCAAAGTGAGCTGGAAGATTGCAATATAGAAATGTATAAATGTGCCTCTTCGACAAATCCAGTATACTCATTCCGCAAAAGAGCGGTTTATCAAATGTAACTCGGGTCGGAATCTGATGGACAGAAATGTTGTTTTTACCAATAATTGTCCTTTCTTTCCTGTCAGACTTTGCGACTACTGTTCTCTTCCTCGAACGGACTCGTTCTAAACACTTTCCGTAGCGTTTGAAAACAATTTATGTAGGTCTTTCTTGAACTTGGAAGTGAACTCTTTCTTGAACTCTTCTCTGGAAGTTGCCTTCGATGTAGTCAATCGAGATACAATTAAAGTGCGAGCTCATGAACGACGTAGTGTTCGTGTGGATCGAGATGCGCCACCAGCTTTTGATTTGAACACGGGAAATGTAATCTGAGAGGATTATCTGCACGATGCACCTGCTTCCGATTATACGCGCTCAGCCTTTTTTTGATTGTCATGACTTCAGGATCAGGAGGTAATCATTGCAAGCGATCGTGTACCTCTTTGGGAAAGACCATATCTACATCTAGAATGTATCCCGTTTCATCATCACACTTCAATTCGCTGATCCATTCCTCTGAAAGTACTTGCTCAATCAAAAAGCGGAAACTGGAGGTTTCCGCTTTTTGAACCGCTTCCGCTTTGATGGGAGTTTAAAGTTCCACATGACAAAGGCATGTATTTTAACTATTGCAGTCAAAATATAAAATAAAAAGCTCTCTTTATTGCATCGTTTGTATGTATTATATGCCTTGCCGAGTTTTTCCGGAGCGATACACATGCCTCCGTGAATTCCAGCTTCCTATATCAATTGTTGATCAATATCGGTGACGAGATCTAACTTGACACGACTGCCTTTTAGTGCTGTTACCATGCTCAATGAAGATAATGCAACGAACATTCTTGCTTTGAGACCGAAGTAATGTATCGTTTGCCGACGAAATCGCTCAAAGACGGTCGCAAGGAGGAACACGTCGACGCGACAATACAACCGAGCGTAATCGCCGATAGTTTCGCAAAAGAAGGTATCCTATACACATATCGCATGCTGATGTTGTGTCTCGGAAATGGTTGCCCCTGTCAGCGAGGAAAAAAAGATTCTCCTGGAGGTATGACTGTCTCTGGCAATACTTTCATGTCTGTGACGTATTTATAGGGAAATTACTCATTTCTCTGCAGTAATGTCTTTTGTTCTGAGTTGTGTGAGGGAAGTATACCTTTAAGATCGTCAGGACCATATCGGAGCCATAGAATTCACCAGACATTCTAACGAGCAGATGAGAAATTGAAACGAATCGCGAAACGTGACTCCAATTTCACGAGAAATGTTTTTTCCGATCGAGGTATTACCTGAATATCTTTCACTTATCCATGCTTCCCCTTTCAATATCCCTTTCATGCTATCCCTTTCAATATGATCATACTTTCCACCGTTGTGAAAATGACTCGAAAGATTCTTTTGGCATTTGTGAATCCTAGACTGCAGGTGGGATGCGTGGCTCCTCTGATTTCACCTGTCACGTGACAGTGATCGATGTGCTTTTCTTCTCCGGGCAGAAAAAGATTACCGCAAATTGCATCTTCCGGTTGTAAAAGAATTGCCTCTCTTTCCTTCTCGGTAACGACAAGAGGTTTTTCACGTTCCGTAACGTATTCCTTTACAGCATCCCTCATTTAAAAAATTTTTGTGTGAAAGTGAGAGACACAATCCTCTCCGATGTGGAACATTTCGTTCCAAACATGTACCGATAAATCTATCACCACCAAATGATAGCAAAAGGGTAGATGTTTTTACACTCGCCCTGTACTTTCCGCCTCATTGCATCTCGAGGGAATGTCGATATCGGCATACGCGACCATGGGCTATCGGAGGCATTTTTTAAAGGTATTAAACTCCAATGTGGAATTTTCTGGTTTCGGCATGAGAATTGTCGCGGCCGCGTAGGTCAAACATAGACCTGCCATATGCTTGTCGTGGGAGTTCTTAGAAGAAAGTCCTGCTAGACATCCATCGCAGTAGTGCTCAAGCGATTTCTTACGCATGGGATTACGAATCCTCGTATCAGAACATAGTGACCCCTTGAAGTGTCATTCACTTTAGCCCTCATATCATGAGGTCTTCTTTCTTAATTATTCTGCCTATTGGCAGGTCCTAGGCATCCATTTTCTCCATTCCAATCTGTTCTCCGTCTTTCTCTTCATTTTCCCAAACGAACCTTCCTTCAGTCCCTCCAGCATGCCAATTCTTTCCTTCCTCTAGGTATTCTCCCTTCCATTCTTCTATCACTTCCTTCAACAACTCTTCTCCGCGTAGAATGTGTCCAATCCTGTTCTTCTTTCTTCTCGCAATCATTTTCACTAGTCCTCTTTTTTCCCCAACAACTTCCATTACTTCTTCATTTGTTCTTCGATGTATCCATCTCATTCTCTCCATCCTTCTCCACACCCACATTTCGAATTCATTCATTCTGACGTCCTTACCATTCATACCATTTTCATCTCTTTTATTACAACTATAATATTTGCACAAACATTGTATACCCATTATTAGCAAATTTTGGACCAGGAGCTCAGGCAGAAGGCTCAAAATTGCTCAGGAACTGAGGGCTCAAAGGGTTAATGTCACTGAAAAGGAGTGGAATAAGCTTCAAAAGAAGAAGTCAAGACTTCTCCTCCGGCGCCAAAGGCGAAAGCCAAAAGAAGAAATTGCTGAAGCATGGTTGAGGAACTTCCTGGATCATGCTGGACAACACTCACCATGCCCAACAAATAAGATATTCGTGCAGGGATGCACCGCACGAATGATTCATCGTGAAATGGTTCAACAATTGACATCGACGGGCTGGGATCCAAAGAAAATTCTTCAGTACACATCTTTCACGCTGCTTTTGAAGAAGCTTCGCAGTTCTCTCGGGAAGTTTAGAATTACCTGTTCAGCATGACTATTTTAACCTAGAGATTATGGAATACCCAAGTTGTTATATGCTGGAACATTGTTTCACTTAACTCACAGCCAAACGCCTTTCTCGGCTGCAATACATGCAGCGAGTTGAAGAAAAGCAGAAACTGCCAAAGACGCGAAAGACAAGACATTGGCGGTGGATCTCTTCACCGAACACCTCAGGATAGCCAAGTAAGTGGATGCTCGGGTCAGAGTTATCTTGTTCTATCGTTATTCATTCGATTTCACGTTTTCATAGGATTGTCATCAGCACCTTGGATTTGGACTCCATGCATGAATATTTATGGAGATTATATTTTGAAATGGAAAGCGAGTAATGAATAGCAGCTGGAGGCATTACAGTACCTGAATCGAATTTACCATGAGAGGTTGCGGCACAGCAATCTCGATAGATTCTGGATATAGGACCGGAAATTCTCTTTTTAGGATTCAACGGGCCAACTACCAAAAGCACAAGCTCCTTGCTATGGAAGGTGGATGACTTTGGTAGTTGATGGGATGAACCAAAGTAAAACCAACGTTCCCTGATTCCGAGCGAAGGACAAGAAGACTGCAGCTCTGCCAAAGCTCATCACTCATATCACAGGTAAGGAAGACTCCAATGTATTTTGACTAACTTATGAGGGACCAATATACCTCCGGGGTAGGTATGAATTAATTGGCTTTTGAATTGGTCTGCCATTCTAAGTCCTCACATATTTCTCGACATTCATCAAGTTATGATATTCTGCTACCTGAGATGCCCAGAACACACCCCATGAATCCGAAAATACGCTAAACTCTCTCGAGAATTGAAGCTATTTTAGCATTGAAACTGTTGGAAGGAGTAAAATGCAAGTATGGGATGCACTCAAAACTAATTCAAACAACTTTATTTCTTGATAATGAGGTTTTTATATTATTTATCACAATAGAGTTTCATGATCACTGCATGGTGTGATTTATGTTCATTTCTTTTCATAGGGATCATGGCATACACATCCCAAGGCATTCGAGAGTTTGCATATGTGGACATGTCCCAGTTTCCTCATGACTCCAACCTCTGCGTGGAGACAATCCTCAGATCACTCATGCATCTGAAGCAAGAACTTGGAAGAAAGCTTTTCGTGCAAATGGATAACTGCGCGAGAGAAAATAAAAATAAGTACACGTGTGCTCTCGCACATCTTCTCATACACACTGACATATTTGAAGAGGTGAGCTTTCTTTTAATTTCCATTTTTTTGTTCTTTAAGAAATTTGTTTAGAAAAAAACGCTGGTCAACAAATTGAAGGTTGCACACGTTCCTCCAACACAGCAGAAAATCTGGAAGTTTCATTCCAATTAATAAAAAAAAGGTTTAGGCAAGAGAGTTACAAGGAGAGCAAAACTTATACACATTCAAACTTACCGAAAACAGGTGGTCCTTAACTTCCACCCAGTTGGTCATACTCATGAGGACATCGATCAGCTCTTCAGCTCCATAAACAAGTACCTGCGGGACACTGAAACGCTCACATTCGCCGGCAAGTTTCTTTTCACAGTAGTATTTCTCAATAAAAAATATTCCGTGCCTTGCGCAATTTAGCAGCAACTTTCTTCTTGTGTCGACGTCGATTACCAGCTCCTGACTGCACAGTTCGTTAGAAAGTTTCTATTTTGCTTTCTTCCTTTTTCTCAAATCAGTTTTGCGGTGTTTCACTCGCTTTAACCCAAACCTTGATTCCGTCCTCCTTTTTCTTCGCGACTTTTTTGATGGCGAAAGAGGCAACGCGTGCGACCTCGAAGGAGACAGAGATGGCGTGAGCATTTGACTTCTACCACCACCGTACTATCGGGAAGGAGACGCCGTAAATGTTCCAGACAGGAGCCGTCGAAATTCATCGGCGTGGAGGGAACGAAAGGAATGTTCATTCCCGAGTGAGTAGCGCGTGCTTAGCGGTCGGGTGTTGACCACGCATAGGAAAGCAAGGGAAAGTCAATCCTATTAGCACTCCGTCATTTATTTCTGGGAAAATGGAGAAAATTACGGGGATAAAGTCATGGACATTAGAAGGCAGCTAAACGCAGCGCGATACGAGAAAAGAAATTAGGTGGGAAAAGTATCCCCCCTCATCTTGGTGAACGATCCGAATGTGTATGCCCTCAATGACTTTCACGGCAATAGGTCTGTAATATATTGGATTGAAACGGATCTTTTTCCCGAATTCAGAGGGAGAAATGAGACGTAGTGAAGGATTGATTTTTTCTATTGATTTAGATGGGGACAGAAATGTTGCTTGTGAATTTAAAGCCGGAATTGTCTTGAAAATCCGTTGCATTTTCTTCTAGGTGTTCCTCTTGACACATATTCCTACCCATATCCCAGTCTCAAATCCCAGAACTCGAGCAATATCGCTTCCAGAAGTTATTGTATCATCCGTTTGATGCACGTACGTCCTAATGTGTGTCAATTGACTCGATTCATATTCCGTAGATACTCGAATTTGCTTATTGCATTTTCTTTGTAAGTGTACTGATTTTTCAGACCCTCTTTAATCTGTCCAATAATTACATTCACGTCCGAGTCATAACGACAGTCGATGGAAAAATCAGTGTGCTGTTCCCACGATCTCAAAAATATTCTCAGCTTGTTCTCAGTGGAGTGGGAGGAGAGGACTAGGTACTTAGCACTCCTTTGGAGTTCCGTGATTCCGATCTCTGCAGGCAGCGACGCGTGAAGGACGATTGGGGGAGAGAGCTTGCACTTCGTTTCTCCGGGATTGTCTTGCTC